TTTTTTCTGTCTTAATCTTTTATGCTATGCTATGTTGATCATATGCAAAAAATACCTAGCAAGTGATTTCAATCTGATACCAACGCCTGAGCTGGGAACATCCAGAGATGTTGAGGCTTAGAGCCTACCAGATATAAAGCACAGGCATATGGTTACGTTCTTTTCCACCTAATGGTTTACCCTTTGCTTTTCAGTCAAGTTTTCCCAAGTTGATTGGGGCAATTTCATGTTTAGAAACACAAAAGTGCTGACATAGTTTCTAGTGTAACCTCGGATGAAAACTGAGATGAAACTGAAGTTTTTAAGCATTACATTGTTACCCTGAAGGCCTTTAGAGAACTTCCTGAACATTATTGAAGGGGTATAGTTCAGTGGTAGAATGCATGCTTTTCATGCTGGTCTCAGTTTTGATCTTCAGCCATGGCAGGAAGAAATTCTGCCTGAGCCCCGGAAAACCATAGTGGTCAACATGACAATATTGCTCTAGATGGGTTCAGTATGATTCCGTATATGAAATCTCTCTAGGTTCCTATGGAAGCAATGCTATGGCCTCTAGGCAGAACTTTTGGCTTTCCAGATCTGTGGTGGGAGACTGTGCTGTGACCTTCGCACTAAGAATTGCAGCTCCAACACCCTCCCCTCACAGGTTGCATGGAAAGAACCGCAGTAGCATTCTCTGAAATTGGAAAAGCAATCCTGGAAAAAGGTAAAAGAGGGTGGTGGGGGAAGAGTCTGGAGAAACCAGGATATGAGGTTTCCTGAAGCTGCTCCTGCCTCCTTCCCTCCCACTACAAGGTGCTGCAGCCAGATGGTAGAATCACCCCATCCAGAGGAAATCAGGATGGGGAAGCCAAGATTGCTTTTGCTGCTCCCCCATTCTGCATTGGATGCTACTAAGCCTCTGAGTATGATAGATTGCACTTGAAATCTGTGTATTATTCCAAACTAAAAGTCCTGAAATAAGTTGAAATTTTGGAAATAAGCAGGGAAACAAAATGTTTCACACTTAATCTGCACCTAGAATATAAAGCCCATTTTACTTTTTCAGTCCTCTGTGAACAAAAGGAGTGATTGAACTTCCTTCTGGTAACCTTTGAAAATATATGAATATATGCTATTTATTTCCTGCTTTTCCTTTGAGGAGGTTATGTCAAGGCTATTTTCCCAGGTATCTCACACCAGGTGCTAAGGAGACCCTGCTCTACTAAGCTTCATCAAGATTGATATCAGTTTATGTCCTGGGTCAAATCTGTAGCAATTCATTTTCACCATTCCTTTGACATATACTTGATCTTTTCCAACCTATAAGCACCTCTCAGAGGTTAGTGATGTCTAAAGCTGAGCACTGGAATCCTATTGATTTCTTTACAGGTTCAGAACACAGTCCTATGCATGTTTAGACCGAAGAAAAAGCTCACAATTTTCAGCATTCCCCAGCCAGTCAGCATAGGCTGCAGAATGCTGGGAGTTGTAGGCTGTTTTTTTTTTCTGTGTAAATGTACATAGGATTATACTCTGTACAACTGTTTCAGCAGAGATTGAGCAACTGCTGGAACTCCATTTCTGACACCAGGGTCACCTTCTTTCACATCATACCCCAATTCCTCAAGTGTTGAGAACTCTGGGGGTACAAGTATCATCATGCTTTTATTTTCTTGGAATGAGATCATTATTGGCTTATGGAATGTTCTGTTCACACACACACACACAAAAGATGAGCATAAATGGAATAGCTTGACTCTCACTAGAGTCTCTACCAATCATGCTAAAAAAAAATGCAAGGATGTTTTTTGGTTTCCTGCTTGCATATATCTCTGCTTGCTTTCTTTCCTTCTCTAGAGACATTGTAGAGCTAGAAAGGGTTCAGAAAAAGCAAGCAAAGTTACAGGATTTGAATCTTTTTAGCTTAGTAAAAAGCTAAGTAAGAGATGTGTTTAAAATTGTCCATGATATAAAAATATGGACAGAGAGGAGTGTTTCTTAAGATACCAAAATCCTGGGTCATCCAAAGAAACTGAATGGTGGGAGTATCCAAGCAGATAAAAGGAAGTACTTCTTGTACAATGCATAATTGAGCTATTGAATTTTCTACTATATGAGTAGGGCTAACTGCTAACTTGGACAACTTTAAATGGGCATTAAGGAAATTCATGAGGAATATGGCTAACTCTTGCTACTTGTCATGATGGTTATATATTTCTTCCAGTATCATATAGTATTCCTTTGAGTAGTAATTGCTGATGAACATGAGTAGCACTGCATTAATGCCCTGCTTGTGTGCTTCCCGCAGGGGCATTTGGCTGGCCAGTACAAGAAAAGAATGCCTTTTGGTGCTTCTTATATAGTGTATGTTTATGTGTAATAATGGGGTTTCAGCCCAGCACCAAAGGCATATCTGCTTGGACTATCTGAGCTCCCACTGAGGCACATCACATTAATATTATGGCTTATCAAAGAATCATAGAATAGTACAGTTGAAAGGGGCCAAGAAGACCATCAGGTCCAAGCCCCTGTTGTTGTAGGTCACCAATTTACACCATCCCACTCAGATGAATGTGCAGTTTCTTTTTTAATGTGTCTAGTGTGGGAGAGGTGGGAGAACCCACAACATCCCCAGGCAACTGGTTCCACTGTCATATTGCTTTGACAGTAAGCAAACTTTTCCTGAAATCTAGCCTGAATCTGGGTTGTCACAACTTGAGTTGATTGTTCTGTGTTTTATACTCTGGTATCAGCAAGAAGAAATCTTGACCTTCCTCTTTGTGACAGCCTTTGAGGTGCTTATGTAGTGATATCATGTCCTCATCCCCCTGCACCATCTTCTCTTCTCAAAGCTTGAACACTCCCAGTTCTCTCAGCTTCTTCTCATAGGGCAGTGTTTCCAAACCCTGGATCATTTTTCCCCTTCTTCTGGACCCTTTCTAATTTCTCTGCATCTTTCTTAAATATTAGTGCCCAGAATTGGATAAAATATTCCAGATGAGGTTTGACTAATGAAGAGTATAGGGGAACTACTACTTCTCATGATTTGGAAGTAATATTGCTATTAATGCGTCCTAAGATATCATTTGCCCTTTTTGCAGCTGCATCACATTGTTGACTCATATTTAGCCTGTTGTCCACAATGACTTCAAGGTCTTTTCCCTTTTCAGTTCTGTTGAACCACATATTCCCCATCTTGTATCGATGCATTTGGTTTTTTTTTCCTAGATGGAGGACTTTACATTTGTCCCCACTGAATCTCATTCTGTTGCTTTCAGCCCAGTGTTCAAGTTTATCAAGATTGCCCTGG